TTATGCCGAAGCGTTGATGTATGAATATATCAGTGTGTTTCAGTTGTTGTTTCCTGTTCTCTCTTGTGTGTGCTGTGATGCACGCTGTGCTGTGGTACGTAGGCCTTCTGATGTGGCTAGCATGTGTGTGCTGTGTTTGTCGTGTGTGTTGTGTGTGTGTGTGTGATTGTGATGTGTTGTGTGTGTGTGGTTGTGTGTGTGTGTGTTGTGGCCAATGTGGTGTGTGGTGTCTTACGTGTGTGTGTGTGTGTGTGTGCGCGATGTGTGTGTGTGGGATGTGTGTGTGTGTGTGTGTGTGTGCGTGTAGTGTGTTGTGTGTGTGTGTGTGTGTGTGTACTGTGTGTCGTGTGTGTGCGTCTGTGAGTGTGTCGTGCCGCGTGCTCGTCCTCCACCGCGCGGCCGTCGCGTGCCGCCCCGGCGCTTTTGCGTGGCCTCACGCCGCACCAAGCATCCTGTGGCTGTGGCCCTGTGTTGTGTTGTGTGTGGCACTGTGCCGTCTGTGGCGCAGGCACATTTGGCTGGTGTCGTCAGACGGACCTGCCTGTGGCGTGTGCGTGTGCGCTGTGTGAGTGCCCCTGGTGTGTGCGTGCGATGCGTGCGTGCTCGTCTGTGTGTGTGTGCTGTGTGATGTTGTGTGTGTGTGGTGGTGCTGTGTGTGTGTGTGTGTGCTGTGGTGTGCTGTGTGTGTGTGTGTGAGATGTAGTAGTGCGTTAGTGTGGCGTGATGTGTGTGTGTGGCTGTGTGTGTGGTGGTGTGTTGTGTGCTGTGTGTGTGTGTGTGTGTGTGTGTGTGTGTGTGTAATGTGTATGTGTGTGTGTATGCGTGCGTGTGTGTGCGTGTGCGCGCGCGCGTGTGTGTAATATAGAATATAAACTATATATATAATTTTAGGATATAAGTGATCGAGCTATTATATAGTTGTAGCTTACAGATTGTTTTTCTCGTTAATAACATGAACGACGAAATATAGATGCGTTACGCGATTCTAACCACACATATAACAATTGAGCAATCTACAACCTGGCATGTGTAGGTACATAAAAAGTCCAAGGTCCAACATTATCGCACTTATGAGTGTAACGCAAGCCAACCTGTACCCTACCTTTTACGTTTGTGCATGCTGTTTCCCTGTTTATTTTATTTTTAGTCTGAATCTCTATGCATGTTGTTTGGGAGACGCGAACACAACATTTAATGACTTTCAATTACCTTCACTCTTTGCACTATTGTTAACTAGAAAATGAAAACCCTTTCTATAATTTGACATGGAAATAGAATATCCATACACTGACAGAGGTGGTTTACATTTCCAAGACAACGTTTGGTAAGTTGGCAATTAATTCAATCGATGTTCAATAGGTATGACTCTGAAAAAGTATTATAGCAACCAGTGAAACTGCTTTTTGATCAATATACTACATTTATACGTTTGTTGCGCTTACCCTACGCACTACCTCAACATCACTATGGTAACATTGAATAATACGTGGGTAATATACTCGCTTGCATAACTCGCTTGCGTAACGTGCATATCGTATATACATAAAATGACAGTGTTTTATTTTATTATTTAGTGAGTCTAGCTCCATTCTCCGTAATATGCAATTTTAGTATTTGTTGTTGACTCCACCAGGCAACCAGACAGCATCAGCGAGCTGCAAGTTGTTATTATATGGATAACGAGTGTGGGTGCGCAGCGAAAGTGTTATGAACAAATTCGTCGAGCGAATGTAGTTCGTTAATGACAGAAACAGATAAAAACACGTACCACGATACCCTAGGGATTACTTCACGGCAATCGTTGTATTGGTACATTACAGAACTCCATTCGTCCAATACAAGTAAAAAGAACTTTGTTACAGCACTAGCAGAGCCTGACTTGATCAGATTCGCATACAAAGGAAACCCGGCTTTTACAAATACGTATTGTAATGCGAATAGTTGAAGATCTCCGTGTAGGGTTCTGTAGCGTCGACAGCTTAGACTTGTAGCAACCGTAGATTGTAGCAAATAGCAGATTGTAGCAGCGTAGCCGATTGTAGCAAATAGAGTAGCAGCGTAGTCAGGTAGAGCTAGATGACGTAGAGCTAGATGACGTAGTCGCTGATTCGTTGTTGAACTAGGACATTATTAGTAAACTCGAACACATACAAAATATATACATACGGCAACCTAGGTGGGTGACCGTGCCTAGGTCCCGTCATCTCCGTTTTCGTATATCTTTCTACATCGTCGTATCTCCTCTGGTTAAATGACGCCCTGACTCCGTAACTCGGTAGCTCCCTCTTCCGTCTCTCCGAGCGTCTATTTATACGCTTCTTAAAACAACCCGGACGCAATACAATCCGAACCAGTTTCTCACCCGCTGCTTCTACTATTAGTGACATATTAACGCGCAACTGTCTGTAATCATTAGGGTGCGGGGTGGGGCTACGTATATATAGTGCCGTACATCCCGCGTCATTACCAAAACAACAATAACTAACCAGGGTTAGAAGTATAGACGCAAAGCCCTAATTAGCCCTACAATACAACAATCCTTCCTTCCCTCTCGAAATAATTAGTGTTCCCACGAAAATACAGTTATATATAAAAAACATTAAAAGTTAAAAACGTTAGTCTAAGTCTGAAACATTAAACAGTGTCATGATGGTGAGGTAAATCCTTGAGGTCCGAGAAGGAATGGAAATTCCTGTTTTGAAACGAGTTGAGGGGATATTGCTGCAGCTGTCTAGTAAAAAATGACGTCTCATTTTCCGTATCACAGGAAGAGGTCGACAGTCTGCAACGGTAACTCAACTGGAATCGGCATGGAAAGGCTAGGGAAGGATGGCGAAACAAGGATACCTCTTACCGCGTACAACACGTTAGTAAATCTGTTAATCAAAAGAAAACAAACAAACAACGAAACATAAAATACAGATATCACCGGCTAAGCTATATCGTAAACACAGATCCATAGCCAACTCTTTGTTTATTAAAAATTTGAATTCGTGGTTTTGCTATGTCGTGGTATCGACCAAATGTTATCGGCTAGCAGCCGTGACTCAAAAATGACGCGACGCGTGACGAAATCGGACGTACCCATTCCCGGGCGCTCCGCTGTTTTAGCTCGTTCGTCACCTTTAATTAAATATCTTTATTATGCACTATGGTGAGTTTGTACCGTAGTATGCCTCTGTTGGCAGGGACGCTAATTTCAGCTTACCCTATTGGCCACGTTCGAGGTCATACTTTAGAAGCGGCTAGGGGCCTCGCATTTCTCATCGCATAGGCTTACTATCTCGACATCTTCCCTTTCGACGCTTTGAGTCACCGTCACGCCGTACAATGAAATTCGAATACCATGCGCTAGCTATATAACTACGAAAATTCGCGCGCTGCTCGACAATTCGCGAGCTATTTTACTGTTAATAAATTATTTCCGAATTTGTGGCTATGTATACAGTGAAATTACGATGTAGCTTACCCTATCGTCAACGTGTTAGTCTTCTGCTTCTTCTGCTCATCTGCTGCTCCTCTGTTAGTTTTTCTTTCTCCATCTTCTCCGTCTGCTTCTCCCTCTTCCGCTGGACGATTGGAAGGCCTGGTTCTCTTCTCATCTTCATCCTCTTTCGCTCTTCTTCTTCTTCCGCTGGGGGATTAGCTGGGTACATACGCAACACGCCACACGCCACACGCCACACGCCAACGTATACACGCCAACATAGATACTAGAGATATATAATATATGCAATTTGTCTTTCCCTGGTCTTAACTGACGGCTACTCTCGCGGATATGACGGATATTTTATTTGAATTATTTTATTTATTTTGAAGTACATTTATTGATTTACCTAATAGTCTTTAAACTTTGTAGCGTCATTTACTCATGAGCAAGCTAGGCCTTTCTGCAATTTTTCTGCAAGTAACCATATCGGTTGTGTACAACGCATCTTTGAATATCGCTCGCAAAAAATATCACTCATACCTTTTGATTGTCATTCCGGGTTGTATTTGCCAACACGTATCGTCGCTATATGAGAATACACAAGTAGGCCCTATATGGCGATGGCGCTCTATGTTCGCATGAACTAGCCCGGTTAAGCGAAATGATCGAACGACTATCATTTGTCAGGTGCTTATATAGGCGGTATTATACACTCGCTGCCAACCACACAGAGGTGTTCCGTCTATGAGCAAAGGATCACGGTCAAGTCTCTAGGCTGGCGCGAGTTGGTTCGAGACTTTGGAGAGTTAAGTTTGTTAACTGCTAAGAGAACCCCAGTATAAGGCTCAATGTGGGATTTCAGATAGCTTGTGTCTATGACCAATACGGTCATAGACGCATGTATATTTCACGTATATCGAATAGAGTTGGTACCCGATAAAAAAAATTGACGTCCCGCTCGACCCAGATTTTTGCATGGATAAATGGGACTATTGTACGTTATTCGAATATGTGTATGCCAGGTATATGTTGTTAGATCTTGTGTAGCTAAGAGAAATATATCTGAACTATACATTCGTATCCTGAATAGCCACATCGAGTACTAGAACGTGTTGCTTGTGAACCTAGTATGTGTCGTTAATTTAAATGTCTACTCTCACACACGATTTGACCAATCACTGTATTTCCGCACTGTTCATCATTCAACCCAACCGGGTTAGTAATAGTTAGCCATCTGTAAAGAAAATTAATTAATTTAAGAAATTGCATTGTACTCTTTCTCTCTCTCTCTCTCTCTCTCTCTCTCTCTCTCTCTCTCTCTCTCTCTCTCTCTCTCTCTCTCTCTC